CACACCACACATTGGTCACACAAGAATCAAGCATTGTATGTACTGAAACAATGAAAAACACATGAAATGTTATATTTGTTTTATAGTCATGTTTCACATGTTTCATGATCTTGTTGCATGGTACTAACTAGCTTTGTTTCACTAAAGTGAGTTGCACATGTTGCACTTAAGTGTTGCACACTATTCATTTCATAAAACAAACACACATGGAATATAAACATATGTTGCAATGTTTCAAAAGCATGTTTCATACAATCTAAGCTCATGAATGAATGAATGATGCTCATGTTTATGAAATGCAAGTGCAAATGTGGAAGCCAAACACCTAGGGTGTTACACTCTACATCTCCATATAATCATGTACACACAGGTTCGAGTATATATGCAAATAGGTTCGTGCCTGTGCGTTGCTACGGGACTGCTAAACTTTTATACTAAAAACACACGGATCGATCGCACGATAAGATAACAATACTGTAAAAGTATATGACCGACGTTAAAGTGACATTTAATCTAAAAAGCTAAGTTCGTGAAATTTACACAGTCACAGAGAGCGTGGCGTCGCAGGCTCACAAACTCTACTGTGTAGATCTTTCCGTGATATGGCTAAGATCATTTTTTATACCGGCAGGAAGAGATTTCCGATATCCATTTCTTTCGTGCGCCAACAAATCCACGAATAATTTCCACCATATCTCCATACCATCCTGTACACGGCGCTGGCAAGCGAATTAGCCACAACTTATGTAATTAGTTTTATAATTAGCTCATGTTTAGTCCTCCTAATTGATATCTAAAAATTCAATGTGACAGAGACTAAAGTTTAGTCCTGGGATCCAAACACCCCCTGACTCTCGACTCCTGCTGGCTGCTCATTTGCACCATCATGCCTATGTGTCTGCACGTATATACTCTAATGCCAGAACGTCTAAGATGGTCTTTATTGTCCACCCTTTGAAAATATCATAACTTTAAAGTTGCCATTTATGTATGCTTTAGGATTGGGATGCTTTGCGCTGATCCATGAGGGTGTCCATGAGAGTCGAAATTTTTGATGCCATTATGATGTCTAAGCTTACCAATCAGAAAGAGATGAACTTGATTGTTAAAATATTTTCAACACTGCTTTCATATATCCCTTCTGTCCTAAAATAGAATTCATTCTCGCTTCCCGAGAAGTTAACTTTTTTTTAACTTCGACCAATTATATATAAAAGAATATTAATATTTATAATATATAATTAGTATCATTACATAGAACATTGAATATATTTTCATAATAAATTTATTTGGAGATATAAATGTTGCACGCATTTTTTACAAACCTAATCAAAGTTGAGAAAGTTTGACCTGCACGCATCCCATAACGACTTATATTTTGAGGCAGAGAAAGTATATGCTAATGGGAGTAGTCAACCGGAAGTCGTGATGAACACAACAATACTTTCATATTATATGCTAATGGGAGCACGAAGAAACGCATGAGAATGGACCTATATACTAATGGTAAGAATATTCGTTTAGGAAATTGCAGAAGGTTCACCAGTCTCATCATGTATAACCTGCACATCTTTTATTTGGCACCACTGATGTTCTCAAGGAGCAGCCACTTTTTAATTTCAGATCTGCATGCTGGAAACACTAAAATTAAGGGCCAACCTCATTGAGTCGTCTTGCTTGATCTTTGCCAATTGTCTTGCTTGAACTTTGCGAACAAATTATACCATTGGCAAAGACTAACACATAAAGAGGTACAACTGTGTTAATTAGCATGGTGGTCAGCATGAATAATGTTGCACCTTTGGAGAGTCCGTCACGATCACCATCTGAATTTGCATTATCTGAATTTGCACTGTCATTCTCATCACTGGAATCCTGAACGTCATGTCACACACCAAAAAAAATGATCAAAAGAAAGGTAACATCCAGTGTCAGGAAAATGTAATCACTGCACACGGAATGGGCTTAGATCCATGGACTCATCACTCAGTGCCAATTTTAATCATGAACAAGGTATAGTTTCCAAGATCAGCCGTTAGACATGCACTTCAATAATACTATAAACTGGCTGGCACTTGGTTGGATCATCACAGCAATACATGGCATACATACAAAAACAAAAGAGTGCAAAAGTTGAAAAGCCTGCCCGATCGACCGATCGGCCTGCAATGCCCATGCAATGCAGACAATCAGAGATCTTCAGGCAAGAGGTAGAGTGGATCTGGCAATTTAATTTCAAGCGCATCGGTATCGAGAATTATATACCTGCAGTGAGCCCTGTAAGAAGTAGGTGTAGAAGGATCCATGGTGTGTGCCAAATGCCAGCAGACTGCATACAGTTTTATTTGGAGAGGAACATTATGGTTCATCTTGTTGATGAGCACATCTCTCCAACTGACCTTTCCACCTTGCTCTGCACAATATTTGTCAGGCATGGTTCCAGAGTTCTGAATCATCAGAATTTCAGCCAGATTGCAGAGGTTGTCTTTGGGACATTGGATTCAGCACCGCCCAGAGATTACACAGAGGATGCATAAACGAGCTGATCTAGTGCAAGAAGAATGCATGCAGCTATGAGCCATGGACTGATTCAGAAATTTGGTCAGTTTGATAAAAGCAGCATGATGTCATCTTATGAAATAGCATCTTAATGGACTATTAGCAGCATACAGTCAACTAAAAAGGTGAGCAAAAAGATGCTCCAATGCAGTGAATGGTATAGTCGCTTCTTCATTCATAGATCTCCACGGAATCTGGCAGAAAATGACTTACATATCCATGGAATCTCACTGTACGCCATATATTATTGTCTCACTTGAGATGTCCATCAGAAATGCCAGAAAATCATGCCAAGAATAAGCACTATAGATGTAGTATGTAAGCCAAATAACCGCTTTTTGCTAATGTCACTTCAGATAGGCCATACTACATGTTCACAGAAGTAGATGAAATTTTCAGCCTGCGCTCAAACTACCATTCGTACTGATGGATAATGTTCGCTCCCATAGAAAGCCAGATTCTGGTTGTATGATGGTTAAGATGCATATGTATATAGTTTTTGAATCACTCCTAGAGAGAGTGAATGTGAAAGTAATTCACTCACTGTCACAAGACGTAAGGTGCTCAGTTCAATGATAGACTTGTGCCGAACAAAAATGTAGCTTTCTGAAGGCTCTGCAAATCCAATGGGGATCATGGCTTTGTGCAAAAAGACGCTGTGCTCCATGCTACATGGACCCCCGTGTGCGTGGGAGGGGGTGGGATAGGATGAGAAGGGGGCAGTTTGCTGAGAAGAAGCATGACACTGACAAGTCCGGCTAGTGGATAGGATGAGGAGAATCGTCAGAATTCTAGTTTCCTAGAATATTAATATAATTCTAGTTTCCTAGAATGTAAATATAATAATAGGAATTCAATCTATGAATAATTCTATTTTCCGATAGGCCAGTACGATAATATATACACTTTTCCATTTTGGTTGTATCTTTCGTATTTTTGTTAAAAAGGGGATCTGCGCACTACCCTCTCCCCCCAAATCCCCAACCCAAACAATCACACACAATGATTTCAGCGTAGGTAACAAATTTATGCATTCTGCTTTTGTCTGGTGAGTTACTTCAAGCTAAGACAATACACAATGGAAAAAAAGCATACTTTCTATCATGAGATGAGACGAAATGTTTGGTGCTTACCGCGCGCCACTAGTTGAAGATGTTGGAGATAAGGTTGATAAGACACTAGTGGCTTTGTTGGTAAACTGGCAGTGGCAGGTAACTCACTGTTGCCAGATTCTGCCGTAGCAAGTTGTAATCATACAGAAAGTTGCCTTCTCTTGAGCTCTGAACCGTTGCTTTCTGTCTACTCTCTGCCAAATCTTCACAAACGAACAAGACGCAGCTTAAAGGGTCACTGAAGTTTTGTAAAAATTAATAATATACACAACTGTATGGTGTGTACAAATGAGCAGCGCTATAATATTGATGCTCCAGCATAGCACGCGTCATAGATCAGTTGCTATTCCAGCACAAAGCAGCCTATATATCATATAAACTTTCCCGTCACCAAGCTTGTACGCGAAACCAAACCTAAACTCACACGAAATTGACTATAGCGAAGACCTCACGAATCCTGATCGTAAGAAGCTGGAACCTGCGAAACCTCAAAGCTTCCCGGGCTCATTTCGTCGAACACGTGGTGAGCGGCACACATCTCCCGCTTGCTTCCATCAGCCTAACCACTCACAGCATAAGCGCGAGGAGACGGGGACCCCTTGCCTCCGTCCGCAGGATTCTATGTTGACATGCGTCTCCACCTCTGCCTCTGCCACCGGGGTGCGCCTAGTGCGGCGCAGAGAGGCAGGCGCGGCAGGGAAACCGCGACTGATCGATCAACGAGCGGAATATTGCTTTGGTTTCGTGAGCATTCTCTTCATTTTAGGCCCATTACCAAGCCCAGCCCGTAAAACTACTCACTCACGTACGGGCTATTGGATCCAGCGGGTAGAGCGGGTACGGGTGCGGTTACATACTACCCGTACCCGCTCCCCCTGGATAATTTTTAACCGCGTCGACCTATGGGGCTACTCAAATTCAGCCCGTGTTAAAAGCTATTGGCCCAAAAAAAACACCCTTCGGAGGCCAAGCCCAACAATGACTTGCTCTTCCTTTCCTTGAGTCCCCGTCCTCCCATTAGCCGCCGCCACTCCACCGGTCCGTAGTTGCAGCTGCGCTGCACGCCGTCGCCCAGGTTCTCTCACGTCCTCCCCTTCCCCTTGCTAGCCATCGCCCGCCCTGCACGCATGCACTGCCCTCATGCTGTCACTATGTCGTGCGATTTGCCTGCCGGTGCCATTGACTGCCGCTGAACACAGAACCTTAACGAGAGAAATTCGTGTGATTTTCTTGATTTCTATTGTTCGGTGTTTGATGTCACTAATTTTCTTTTTTGTTTTTGTTGCTGTGTGCAGATCTGAGATCGAACGAAGCTAGCTTCTCATCGAGATGGCGCTTGTAAGTGTTTGTTCTAACTAGTACTAGTTGTTTAAGTAGCCTCTTGCTCTTAAATTTTTGATATGCTAGGGGCGTTTAAGTAGCTTGTATTAGCGAGATTATTTTGTTGTAATTTCGACTTGTGGTGTGGCAAGTTATTTTCTGATAAATTGATTTCCATTCTTGGGTTTCTGTGGATTCCTACAGCACAGCCTACACCGTGGATATATGTTCTCTCACATTAACATAAGATTTGGTCGCTAAATTATTGTCCATGGATAGATATTGTTGATTACCCTTATCTTGTTGCCTTAGCTGCTTGTTGGTTACATCTCTTCCTTCTCACAGGAGCCGCTCCAGCAGCGCAGCGTCGTTGATGTCGGCGTCCAGCACCAGCACGCCGCGGGACGCCAGCAGGCGACGATGGCGGGCGGCCGGGGACTGAACCGGTCTTCATCGAGGGGGCAGCTGCCGCCCCAAGAGCTGCTTGACGATCTCTGCAGGTATTTCCCTAACCCCCAAACCCCATCTCTCAGGTTCTTTTTGGATTTGCTTAGATCAATCTAGAGTAAATCAATCTGAGCTGAATCACCTCTGCAGCCGGTTCATTCTGAATGTGCCCAAGGAGGAGCTGGAGTCGTTCGAGCGGATCCTGTTCCTGCTGGAGCAGGCGCACTGGTTCTACGAGGACAACTCCGTCGAGCACAACCCCAACCTCAAGTCCCTCTCCTTCAAGGACTTCACCTCCCTCAGTAAGCCCGCCTGTGCATGGATGCATAGGAGATTATGGTTGGATTGGTCGCTGATACCAGTTCCGTTGCGTTGTCCCGTGGATTCGATTGGTGGTGTGTCCAGTGTTCAAGAGCTGCACTGCTCTCAGGCCCTACATCGCGCACCTGGATGATATCTACAAGGACTTCAACAACTACAAGTTCCGTGTCCCCGTGTCCGGCGCCATCATCCTAGATGACACTTATGAGAGGGTAATTTACTGATTTTTTTTTGCCCCAATCTATTGCATTTTAGGAGTTCCCTGATTGGGATTTGTGAATTAGGAGTCTAAATGTAGGTTGCACCAATAGCATTTTCCTTACATTTGCAATCGGTAGGCATACATTATCCTCTGAGTTATAGTTGGCCTTATATATTGAAGGAAAAACTGTGACTTCTGATGCTAGGATGTGTTTTCACTGCAAATCTCCTATATATTTTCTTACACATACAATTTCACATGCTATTCTGCAATAAAATTATAAACATACATGAATTTTAGTTTTTTTCCTGACCCTTTGGAGTTCAATTTTGTTTGGGTGGGGGTGGGGTGGGGTTGTGTTGCTTCTCAAGACCAATTAACTTCTTCCCCTTTGTGTACAGTGCTTGCTTGTTAAGGGATGGAAGGCTGGGGCCAGCTGGAGCTTTCCTCGTGGAAAGAGGAATAAAGATGAGGAAGATCACACATGTGCCGTTAGAGAAGTAAACTTCTGCCTGTATCATCTTCCTGCCTGCAGTTTAATTTCCTTTCTGAGTGCACCCTGCAATTTCTTTGAAGCATATTGTACTTGCAGCAATGAAATATATATTAGATACCATTCAACGCCATTTGCTGCTTTTATACGATAGTATTCCCTGCTTGGTTTGAGTTTACAAATTGCAATTTTCATATCGCTAGATCTTTGAATACTTTCATCTCTTCTTCGCCGCAAATGCCTGTTTGGTTAGACATGTATACATTTCATTCGCAGAGGGCATTCTTGTGGTCTGCAGGAGCAATCTTTGTCCTTTATGCTATCAGCAATATGTATCAATGTTAAAGATAACAAGTGAATCACCTGTCTAACATTTTTTTCCACATGAAGGAAAAAACTTGATTAAAATATTTAGTTTGTTAAAGGCATTTCCTCTTGAATAGTAGAGTGGGTTTTCATACGATAAAGCCAATACTTTGCATGAGATACTCGAAGATCCGTGTTGATAAAATTTCATCCTTTCTCCAATCTGGAGCACTTCTAATGCTTATATTCGTTAGTTCCTCCTGTTCAGCATATAGTAGTTTTTTGCTAACTAACATCTACTTGAATAACAATGCAGGTTCTAGAGGAAACTGGGTGTGATGTTTCTACATTTTTATATTTGGATGATTACATTGAAGTTTCAATTGGACAACAAAGGGTTCGGCTCTACATCATAACAGGGGTTAAAAGAGATACTGTGTTTGCACCTCAAACCAAGAAGGAAATCAGTGTATGCATAGTTCTGAATCTTGTTCGCATCGCTTTTATTGGCAGTGATGCACCTTTACTTTGCAAGGCTTATTGCTGCTCTCCTTGGCCGATTGTCCTTCATTGTACCTTTTCTGTTTCTGTTGTTTTCTTTTCCCTTTTAAAAAGGTACGAAATGATCCACTGAGCTATCTTCCTCTGCAAATTTGTTAGGAAATCTCATGGCACAGAATTGATGAACTCTTACCAGCTAGTGATGACGCAGTATCTCGGGCAGTGAATGGAATGAAGCTGTACATGGTTGCTCCATTTTTGACGTAAGTACCTCGTGATCCACGTTCTACTTTATTTGTTGGGGGAAGATGCTGTTATGGGGGCATTGCCATTATTATAGATGCTCTCAAAAAAGAAGGAAACCAAAAATGTGTTTTTTTATTCTGTGGCTTGATCTACTTCTAATTTTCCAAGGCGTAAAATTGTTGCTTAAACATTGTTGTCTCCTGCCTTGTTCTCTTTCCAGGGGTCTTAAGGCTTGGATTGCCACGCATCCTCCACCACTGCATCAGAAACCAGAGACATCTGCTAGAGGTTTCTTCTGCTCCCCTTGAGGGCACGTTTGGTTTCCACAAGGCCTGGAACGGATCCGGCCAGGAATACTATTGAATTTTATACGGCCATGCATCGCCGGGATACGTTCCGGCCAGGAATGGCCTCAACCGAACGGGCCCTTACCCATTCTGGCCAAGATTACAAAATGGAAAAAAAAACTTTGAATTATTCATAATAGTTCTTGCTACAAATTCGCCTAGTTTTGATGTCAGAAGTCAGTCAGTTGACGTCTTACTTCAGACTAGCCTAGGTTTTCTCCCTAAAGTCGTGGCATTCATTTGGTTATTATGTGGTGTCCGACAGGTACTGTGTGGAAGGCGAAGAATTCGTCAAGTGGCAGTACCCCAGTGGAGAACCCTGTTGCTAAAGCAGTATCTGACGTGCAGGCGCATCATGTTGACAACCGCCCCGGTCGCAGCTTCAGAAACTTCAGGTTTGACACGGCAAGCATCCTGCAGTCCATGGAGGCTTCCTTACGACGCACCTAGGATCCTGACGAAGCATGATGAACCCAGCATCCTTGATGTGTTTCATCATCCTTGATGTGTATAAACTGAGGACCAGCGCAATCGGTGTTGTCAATTTGTCTTCGTTTCGTCTCTCTCACTCGTTCGTTGCACCTGTAATCTTCCACAGCAACAGATGTTTCGTCTTGCATGTGGAGTGTGGTATATATATGTGGTGTCCTGCCAGACGGCTGAATCTTATTTTTTTCTGCTGCCTGGTTTCGTGGTGGTTGTCCATAAAGTTTGGTCTTTTTTTTTAGAAACCGGAAAAACTATATTACAAAGACCCTCTCAAGAAAAATGAAACTATAATCCAGTCCTTGCAAGATCATGGTCCTCTTGGTTGACCTCGTCGCCCGTGGTCGGAGCAATGTGCAGCTTGAAGCCGACCCCCTTCCGGACGATAGCTCTTCATAATTTTTCGATGCCACCATGAGTCGCATATCGAGAGCATCTGCCAATTTTTTACTTGCGCGCCGTTTGTGTACAGGGATTTAATAGCAAAGAGATCAGCAGTGGCTAGTGCAGCCTATCTACACGCATGAAAGGCATTCGTTTCCTTTTTATACTGCTATTAAATCCCTTGAAGTCAAGCTGTAGCAGTACTAGTGAAGAAAGCGGCAGCAAGTGATCGGATCCATGAAAGTAATGAACCAAACAGGCCCTGACAAAGGATTAGAACTGTGCGTGTCAGATAGAAGCATTGATTTTCATTCGGTTCGCTGTGCTCGGTCGTTCGGAACAAACCGTCTGAAGTACTGAGTGCTGGCACAGCTGCCGCTCGTTTTTTTCGCAGTGGGGATTGGGGAAGGGCGAATTTTTTAAAATAATATTTTTTAATGAATAATTGCATCAAAATTGTGAGAATTGTAAATATAGTATCCTATCGGCTAGGTCCACTATCGGCAACTGGAGGGCCGACAGGATCATATCCGGCAGGGCAATAGCCAACTGAGCCCCCGATCAGGCCAGACAGTGTCCTATCGGTCAACCGTGAGCCGACAGGACACAAAATCTTCTCGCCGCTCCCTCTCGCTCGCGGCAGAAACACTCCGCCCATTTCAAAATTTCAAACCCAAAACGAGAGACGCCGTCGCCTCCCCTTTCGATTTCGACTTCCCACCGAGCCGCGCTCTCCGCCTCTGCTTCTGGCCGTTCAACACCCAACCCCGAAAAACTTTCGGGCTCCCACGATCTTTAAACCCTCGTCCTTTCCCTCCGTTCCGAATTCCCGCGCTCAGAAAAGTCTTCTCCTCCTCTGGCTTACTCCCTAGTCTTTGAGCTCATCCGTCTCACTGTCCGCCGGTCGTCCATGGAGATCGCCAAGAACGGCATTGCGAGCGGCAGTGTCCGCGACCTGCCACCATCGAAGCGATTCAGGCACGTCGGCTCCCACCTCGGATCGACTCCCAGCGTGCTGCTGCCGGCCAAGAAGCGCGTGCTGCCGCCACCGCAGCCGCCAGAGGAGGCAGCCGTCGCTGTTTGCCTCCCGGTGAAGAAGAGAGCAATCGTGGCGCCGCGGGTGGAGGTGGCGGACGCCCTGTTCTGCCTCCCGGCGAAGAAAAGATCCATCCTGGCGCCGCCGACGGAGGACGTGGCGCCCGCGTGCCTCCCCGTCAAGAAGCGCGCCTGTGCAGCGCCGGCGGATGCTGCCGTGCCGGCGTGCGTTCCGGCCCAGAAGCGCCCGTGTGCTCCGCCGTCGCCGTCGCCGCCGCTGGGTGCGTTCGCTTCGTCCCGCGTCTCGACCAAGAAGCGCGTCGTAGTCCGAAGATCTGCTGCCTTCCTTGCACCACTCGTGTGCCCTACACTACTAGCAGCACCATCGGCATAAATGAGGAAATAAAGCTTCGGAACCTATTTCTAAACTAAAACTTGACAACAAATTCTTTTTAAAAAGTTAGGACGTTGCATGCGAAGTTATATAAGTAGCCCTATTACTATGGTTATGTATCCAGGATAGATGGCACTCTGCTGACTTAGGTAGGCTTAATCAAGTTCTCTGCAGGTACACTGACCCTGAGCATAGTCTGAAAGTATCGACTAGCTACAGGGAGAGATCGGTGTGCCAAAAATGTAAGAACGGTTGCCCTATATGTTGGCAATAGTAGAAGGACGTATAGGACATGCATTCATGCATATCCTGTTTGTGTATTGTAGTGCCCGTATTGCTTATAGATACGCCATCCATAGGTGTCACGCGTGTCATATGGTGCACGCCTGACTTGTTCCTGTTATGGAGTTAATGCTAAACTATGGCTTTGTGCTTCGCGTCGCCTGTGGTTCACGCCTGCCGTGACCTGCGTATCCCCGTACTCTTTTCTGGGCTCTTGTCGGAACCTTGTCTTGCAGCCGTATTAGTCATTAATGGCCTCGGATATCACTCGCCTCGAACGCGCGAAAAATTCGTTCGATTCATTTATAGTGATCTCGTGCTGGAACCTTTATAAGCAGGGTCTGGCTTAGCTGTTGGTACCACCACCCAGTGCACTTTAGATCGCCTAGCTTTTCCTTTTGAGCCAGCTTTTTGCTCAGTCCTTCCTTGCAACCACCGCCAGCGATGGCAAGAGCCTGGGTTAGTAGTTACTGCCTGAACACTGAGGGTTTTCCTAAGATCCTGTATGCCACCCTGCAAAAGCTCGGAGTCAAAGATCGTCCCGAGTATGAGGGCCGTGAGTATGAAAAGCATGGTACTGAGCGGTGTGAAGTTATCGTCTACATTGGGAAGAGTGAAGAGTTTCCCGACATCACTGAAGCCTGGAATATGACCGCAACTGGGTTTCACTTCGTCGACACCTACCAGGTTGTGCCCCGCAAAGCCTTGCGGTACCTTTGCCAGATCTATGAAGAGCCCATTGCCCGTACCCCCATGAGGTTCTTTCCACCTTTGGAAAAGAATCGACGGGCATGGAGGGCTCGCATGGAGACTTTGCAAGGGTGGGATGCGCAAGAAGATAGTCCTACCGCGGTGCACTTGACCACGTACCTGCTTGCTCTAGATGAGCAGTATGACCGACAAGCCTCGGAGCTGAGGAAGTGCCTTCGGCAAGCCGAGGAAGCTGAGATCTTCTCCAGGATGCTCCAGGTGCAGCTTGATGCTCCAGGTGCAGCTTGCCGAAGTGCATGCCAGTGCGGCAGCCGCTGAGAGTCGGGAGACTGCCATGTCAGAAGCTCTGAAGGAGGCTGAAGATCGACATGCCCATCAATTGGGAGAGGCCTACCTTGTCACCAGGGCCAAGCGGAGGACGCTGGCTGCTGAACGGCAGGATCCCTTGATCGTGGAGGGGATCCCTATCCACCTGCTAGAAAGAAGGAGAACCGTTGTTGCAGTACCGCCAGCACCTCCACCCTCGGAAGTGTCAGAAGTAGAACCCTTGATTCCTCTCATTCAGCCATTGCCAAGAAAGGAGGCAGATCCATAGCCAGGGCAGTAGAAGAATCCACCGAGCCCGGGAATGAAGATGCGTGGTCTAAAGTAGATTAGTTGCCTTGGGATGATGTACCCATAGTTAGTAGTGTCTTTCGTTGCTGTCCACCGGTATTGTAATCTTTCTGTTGTATTTCATCCGTAGCTGTTGAGGTAGTCCGATCGTAGGAAAGGTGAACGATGTGTCGAGAACGGGAGAGTAAGTGCCTGTATGTTGTACCAGCATAAAGACGTTCAGAATATATATTTTATTTATTTCACTGTGTTATTGCGTCCATCTACCTTAAGTCACGTTAGACGTGCTTAGGGTTTTCGAGGGCGATAGTAAGTGGGTTACAAGATAAGTTACCATTCAGATGCGAGCAGACCAGCCGTGATTGGATAACATAGGACACTGTATCGACTAACTGTGGATGTCCCAGCAGAACACTTGAATCTCTTTAAATCAAATATGTTATTGGATTTGAAGTCCTTGTCCCTTGTTGCGAAAGGGACTCATGTTGTTTGAATCTTCTCTTGCAATACTTCTCTGATTCTGTGGTCTATGACCCCACCGTCTTTATTGCGTGTAAGTTGGTAGTAGTTGCCTGGTTAATAGCTTATGGTGCCGCGACGAAACCGAGGGCCCCTGTGGAACAGCTGCCACATGGTGATGCTGCTCGGCACGCGCTGGTATCGAGGTTGTTGACCAAGTACTTTTACTAAGTTACATCGCCATACCACTTTTGATACAAAAAATCGGGTGTTTGAACAGGAAATCCACAACGGGTTGATGAAATAGTGTTCTCTCAAAGTAAACAAGAGGAGATGTTTTGGAGGAAGCATGTATGTTGCGATCTCACTTCATACAAAGGTTGGCGCATATTGTGGACAAGGAGGCAAGGAAAGAAGAACACTTAGGAAAAGTTAGCCTTGGGTAGTATGGAGTGCTTAGAAAAGCCCGAGTGGATGTCAAGTCCCAAGCACTGTGCCCAGCTCGAACACGCTACGCACGCCGGGTCGCTGTCACCGCGTGCCCTGCGGACACCGTCGGTGTCGGGCCCATTAGCACCCTGTCCTCGCATGTCCGCGACATCGTGCCGCACTCGCCATCCTCGTGCACTGTGCGCTTCTCCTTTTCCTGACCTCCGGTCCGCTCTTGATCCTCACCCTCGTCCCCGTACCGGACCCCCCTCACTTCTTTCTTCTTTTAGGGACAAGGCCACCTGCACGCCTCCCTCGTCGAGTGAACACTCTCTCCTCTCCTTTATTCCCCCCTCCGCTCACTTGCGCAGGGAGCGCGCCATGGCCGACTTTATCCCCACAGCGTGAACCGGCAGTGTATCCCATCCATATCGTCTCCACTTCCGGTGCTCTGCGCCCCATCTCCGTTCGCCACTATAAGATGCCCTTGGTCCTTGCTCTTCTTCTTTATCCCCATCCCTCTCGAATCTGAAGTAGAGTTACGAGATCCAGTCGTCATTGTGGAACTAGGTTCGTCTGACAGAGGCGATGGTGTAATCTGAGAAGAAAGGATCTGGTTTTTTAAGAAGTTCAAGTCTACCCTTGGTTAGTTTGG